AATAAAAGACAAATCATCTATCAAATTATCGAAATCAAAATTGAAAAATCCTATGAAAGTCTATCAACCGTAAAATCACACAATCAAATAGAGATTAAAAAAAAAAAAACAGATAAAATTGAGACGAAAACTTACTTATGAAATTATAATTAATAAAATAGATAATGAACTTTGTATGTTGTCAGATGGACAGGTTGAGCTGCAATCTTCATTGAAGAGCAACGAGAGAATTCTTCGCATCGAATTTGAACGTTGTGTTAATTTGAAAAAATAAAACAGCATAATCAACTTTCATTCTTCTATTTATCCAAAAAATATTAGCTATTGTATCATTCTCGTCAACTTGAATTGAGTGGAAAAAATTTGAATATTTACATGCATTTCTTCTAAATATCCAAGTACTGTACTCGTATCTCTGATTTTCATATCTGTGGTTCTCCTTGATCGCAAATAATTTCTAATCTTATGAAGTTAATACCAAATTATCACAATCGCCAGCTTGCTTAATTATATAATTATGAAATACTTTTGTCGAATACCTACTATCTGCTATTAGAATTTCAAAAGCATAACTTTCAATTATTTTGCTATGTGATCTAAACATGTGAGTTTCATCCCCTCTTGACAAATAATGATTACATTTTGAAATAAATTTCACAATTTTATACTTTTCAATTTTATTCAAATGTATTTTTATTTTTTTGCTAAACACCAAAATCTAGTTTCAACATGTGGATTTTTCACATTAACATCTTATTTATCGGGTTTCCAGTTACCTTGAGCACAACAACAAAATAATCTATCGACAAGTTTTCTATTTTTTTATGTCGAGCTTTTTTCTAACATCAAACCTTTTTTTTTCCAGTATATGCAAAATAATATTCCCCTAACAAATTTTTATTATCTAATTCCATACCTATTTGAGGAATATCCTCATTTGGGATTGAATTATCCAGTGAATCATTATAATTAAAATTGTGCAGATAATATTTTGACCATCACTTTTCTCATTAGTTACAGGAATTTCCTAAGAAAACATCAAATTTTGTTTAGAACAAACTGTTCAATGTCTTTCTCAAAGTATTTTTTTTTTTTAAAAAAATTACAAATATAAAAAATTAAAATTAAAATTAAAATACCTAATTTTTATCGTCACTTTCATTTTGGTAGTTATGTTGTTATATCGACTAGATTAGCACCTTTTACTATTACAATAACTTGATCAAATTATACTAACAAGTGGATCTTAAAATTCATATGAAATGCCAACAAACAATATTTATTTCTTATCAATTTGTAAACTTATATTATCTCAAAGTTAATCACAAGAAATAAATTATAGCACAGACGGTACAAAAATATCTATATTTTTTTGATAAAATAAACTAAAAAAAAAAGGAATTATAAAACTCAATTGATTGAGTTTTTTCTTCTCAAAGAAAAAAATAAAAATAATATAGATAGTGAACCACCTAAAACACTATTTTTTTTTCTTTTATATTCCTCAACAGAAAAAAAAAAAAAAAAAAAAAAAAAACTCAAAATTTCTCGGCAATGTACAAACTTTTGATATTGTATGTAAAATTACTCTATTGTTCAACTAAAATAAAAGACAAATCATCTATCAAATTATCGAAATCAAAATTGAAAAATCCTATGAAAGTCTATCAACCGTAAAATCACACAATCAAATAGAGATTAAAAAAAAAAAACAGATAAAATTGAGACGAAAACTTACTTATGAAATTATAATTAATAAAATAGATAATGAACTTTGTATGTTGTCAGATGGACAGGTTGAGCTGCAATCTTCATTGAAGAGCAACGAGAGAATTCTTCGCATCGAATTTGAACGTTGTGTTAATTTGAAATCTGAAAGGACGGTTATGTTTGAAAGATAGTAAGTTGATTTATAAATTTTGATAATAAATATTCTAACTATAAAAATTACTTTAAAATATCAATAAATAATACTATATGTATGATCTATTCCACATCAGCACAAATGTCAAAATTTAATTACATGGAACAAAGATAACAAGAAAAAAAAAAGAATATCATGAGTATCCCTCATTAGGTGTTAAATTATTTATATTTTAAAAACTTTTATCACTCAGCTGATCTTTTACTAGCTTTTTAGCTTCCAATAATTTGCAGTCGAGACAAGGACAAATAAATCATGAATATTAGATTTGACAAAGAAATCGTCACAATATCTTTTTTTTTTTTTCGGGAGTGAATTGCTGAAATGATTCTTCTGTGTACATGTTGAGAAAACTAATTATTCTATCGAGGGTTATTCCGTCGATTTCAGGGAGTTAAATTATGTCGATTTTGTCTTCTTCCTCTAAATTGAGTAAATTTGCGATGAGCGATGAATGTGAAGATCTTGAATTCTTTTCCATCGGAATTTTTTAGAGTTTTGAATTCCTCTTTATCTATGGTAGTCCAAGAAGATGCCTTTTTATCTCTGGTAGTAAAAAAAAGACATTGTCATTAAAGAACCTTCTATTTTTAAAAATATTTTTATTAAACATCTCTCTGCGTATATAAAGAGAGAATTAGAAATATAATTTATTAATTATGAATAGAGAGATAATTAAGATTAGATGATTTCAAATCATATACTCCCTCCATCCCAAATTAAATAAGCTGTTTGGAGTTTTATAATATATTAAAAAATAATAGTATTTTACTCTATCAGTCCCGCATATAATGTGATATCTTCTATTTTAGTCCGTCCTACATATTATGTAATTTTTTTTATATAATAGAATTATACACTTTAATTACATTTTAAATTTTTTAATTTGTAATTTTTTTAATTTTTATAAAATTAATTAGTTATCTTAACTTTAATATATAATTATTTGTATTATATTATAATTAATTTTACAAATACATTCTTAATTATTTGATAATTATACACCTCCTAAATTCTCGTGTATACAGTGACACTGGCATAATACCTGGGACGGAGGGAGTATTAGTTAGTAGAAATATGTAAGAGTTTTTGATATTTTTGTCATTTAACTTTATGTATAAAAGAATTGTATGAGTAACGGTATATTAGTAATTTAAGTAAAAATTAAAGATATTTTGGTATTAGTGTATAATTATTTTTTCTAAAATAGGAAATGAATACATTGAAGAGAGACAAACGAAAATGACAAAAATAGTACTTTGAATTGAGACGAAGAGAATATATTCTTAGGTTCTGAATTTCTCTTTATTCATGATAGTTGAAGAAGACACTGCTATTAAAGAACCTCGTGTGTTTTAAAATATTTTTATTAAACCTCTCTTTGTGTATATATATAAAGAATTAGAAATATGACTTATTAATTATGGATAGAGATAGTTAAAATATATGATTTCAAATCATATCTATCAGTATGGTTCTGAATTCTTTTTTATTCACTGTAGTCAAAGAAGACACTGTCATTAAATAACCTTTGTGTGTTTAAAAATATGTTTATGAAATCTCTCTTTGTGAATAGAGAGAATTATGAATATAATTTATTAGTTACGGATATAGAGATAGTTAAAATCATATGATTACAAATCATATCTATTATTAGGTTCTGAATTCCTCTTTATCTATGGTAGTCGAAGAAGATGTCTCTTTATTCATAATAGTTGAAGAAGACACTGCTATTAAAAAATCCAGTGTGTATAAAAATATTTTTATTGAACTTCTCCCTGTATATATAGAGAGAGAATCATGAATATGAATTATTAATTATAGATAGAGAGATATTAAAGAATATATGAGTTCAAATAATATCTATTCTTAGGGTTTGGTTCTGAATTTTGAAAATTGATTGAAAAATCAATACCATGTTGATATTTTATTCATCACAAGTGAAATAGATTTAATACAATTGTTTATTTAATACAACATATTATGTGTTAAATAACAATACATAGATGTGTTGTATGAATACACGTATGAATTCAATTATTGACTGTGTTTTACTTGACTAGGATATGTGCTTATCGTTTATGTGTTAGCATTTGTATTATATTAATATAAAACAGTTAGCACATTTCATAGTAAAAAAATAGTACAATTACAATTGAATTCAACACAATTAGTACATTCATACAATATATCTACATATTATTATTTAACACAAAATGTATTATTTGTATTTGTTAATTGTATTTATTTTAAAATAAAAATAATGATATGCTAGTAATTTTGATAAAATATTGTAAGGATATTTAATGCATGAAGACCATATTTACTAAATTATATTATGAACCAGATACAAGATTATTTTATGCCTTTATATTAAAATACTCATTCAGTCCCATCCAAAAGTGTTTTTGGAGGGTTTTATAGTAAATTAAAAAATAATAATATTATATTAGTGAGTGATAGTATGTAAGATAATTTTGATATTTTTATCATTTGTATTTTATGTATAAATTAATTGTATGTATAATAATATATTTGTAATTTATGTAAAAATTAAACGATATTGTGGTATCAATCTATAATTACTTTTTACTATAACAAGAAATAGATACTGTTGAGTGAGATAAAAAGTCTAAAATGATAAAATTATATAGATGCAATATAATAAGAATATGCTCACTTATTTTATTTTAAGGATATCTGATTTTATAAAAATATAAAATATATTCACATAACAATAACATCAATAAAAATACATAAAATATTATTTTCTAAAATATTTTTATAATTTCTCATACATTACAATAAAAATCTCTAAAACTATAAATACTGAACAAACATACTCTAAACATTTGTTTAGATAAAAAATTTTGAAGTTTAAGAATTTTGAAAACTTTCAAGAATAATAATATTTTATAAAATAAAATATAGTAGTATAATATTTGATATGTTATTATCTTAAAATATTACTATAGATAAATAAAGTTAAAATTTCCAAAATATGTAAACAAACAAAGGCTAAAGCCTCTTATAAATAATACACATTTCGCAATTCAAATTGATCACATTTCTTTTCGTACTTTCTCTCTCTAAAAAAACAAGAACAAGAAGAAGAACAAAAATACAATATTAAATCCAAAACCATTAGAATCCTACTCAACAATCTTCTAGTGTTGTCAATGGAGAGTGGTCAAATCGAGTTTTTGTCGCGCACATGGACAATTTCATCCCTCGGAGTCTCTAAGCCGGCTTTTCCTCACAATGTGGCCGCCACCCGAGCCTCAAACGATGACTTTCCGGCCACCCTCCCCATCTCCGGCAACCCCTTTTCCTTTGCTTCTTCCGAAACTTCCAAGCTTGTCTTGGACCGTATTATGTCACAATCCGTAAGTATAATTAAGTTTTTTTTTTTTTTCCGAGTTTAGATCAAGTTTATAATAAGTAAAGAATTAATCACTTGTAATAAACATGGTTTTATTATTATTATTATTATTATTATTATTTGGTAATTTGTGTATGTCAAACTGTAATTGTTGCTTTGGCGGGTACAACATGTGTAGCGCGAGGTATCACCACGCACTTCAGGAAGACAATCTTTGTCGGACAGCCCTCCTGTTTCCCCCTCTGCTGATATATTGGAAGATCATAAGGTACTTTTATATTTTCTTTATTGTTACTATTATAAATCTCTGCTTTATTTTGTTTACCTCTTTTTCTTTTTTTTTTTTTTCTGATAAGATATAATTTTAATAATCTTTTTCCCATATTGCCTATGATTTTTATAAAATATATTTACAAATACAAACAATATATATATATATATATAAACAACATTACAAAAAGTTTAATATGTTTTGAATTAAAAATAATAGTAAAATATTCAAAATTCAAAGGTATTTACATATAAATATTATTAGGAATATTGATGGCAATCATGTGAATATATTATTATATATTTGCATAATGAATACTATAATATGCATGATTTGTTGTGTTTGAAATATTTTTTTTTGGGCAAGTATAAAAAATTATATCGATAATATAAAAAATAATAATTTTATATTGAATTGTTGATACTTTTGTGAGAGAAATGATATAGATACTATACATATTGAGAATTATGTCATAAAAAAAAATTTAGGTGAGGAAACAAACCCATTTATTTTGCATTATTATAAAGTATAACACAATTATAAATGCTCATGCAAAGTAGTTTGTTCAATGTAGTTCATTCAATTTTTTATGTTTTATCCTTTTAAAATAAAAACAATTACAATTTATTTTAACCAAAAAAAAAAAAAGCATTACATATATTCCCTTTTTCTACCAAAAATTAGTATATTTTGAAGTTGGCGCATAATTTTAAAAAATAAATATTTTATTGACAAAGTAATAAAAATAAAAAAGTAATTAGGGTATTTTTGAAAATTTAGTTAGTAATTAAATAAAATAAAAAATATATATAATAAAAGTAACGATAATTATGATAATTAAGTGTTGAATGAAGGATAATTAAATGTTGAATATTTGACTTTGCCAAATTAGTAATTCGATAAATTTAACGAATGAACAAACAAAAAAAAATAAAAACAAATTTGGTGGATGAAAAGAATAATATATACGAATAGATTGAATATTGAAAAAATTGCAGACAATTGTTAATTTAAAGCTCCATTTATACAGTGATTTTTGAAAATTTAAAGATTTGTTTTAAGAATAATAAATTAAAAATTAATACTTGATTTAATATCTTGAACTATGAAACAGTTATGTGATAAAATATTTAAAAAAAAAAATTATTAGTATCAAAACTTTCAAAAATATCTATTTTTACTATCTCGTCGCTCGTGTCGTAGAATTGTTTGTTAAGCAATTCGACCGGCAACAACCAATCGAAGAGTTGCACCGCCGCGACTGTCTCCAGCGGAAAAACAGTCGGGCGGTGGTTGAAGGAGCGGAGAGAAAAGAAGAAAGAAGAAGTGAGAATGCAGAATGCGCAGCTCCACGCCGCCATTTCTGTGGCGGGCGTGGCTGCCGCAGTCGCCGCAATTGTTGCAGCCACGGCTGCGTCGTCTTCCCGGACGGGAAAGGGCGAGCAAATTACAAAGACCGACATGGCTGTTGCATCTGCCGCCACATTGGTTGCCGCACAATGCGTTGAAGCGGCCGAGGGATTGGGCGCGGAGCGCGACCACTTGACTTCGGTGGTGACCTCGGCTGTCAATGTCCGGTCGCCCAACGACATCATGACCTTGACGGCTGCCGCCGCTACAGGTGCGTACGTTCGTATTAAATATTGAGTCGGAAAATTTACAATTTTAGTCCCGTATATAATATTTTATACTCTTTCCGTCAACTTAGAAAGTATACATATTTTTATTTTGGGACGTCTAATTACAAAGTAACCATTTCATTAAATACTCCATTTTTTTTCACAAATATCCCTACTTTACATCATATCATTACTTTTATAAAAAAAAAGTAAGGACAAAAATGTCATTACATTACTTTTACCTACCCACTATAATTAAATACTATTATTTTTTAAACTCCGCGTCAAAAGTAAACGTATACTTTTTACTTGGACGAAGGGAGTATTTTTTATCAGTCATCTAAAAATATGTTCATTTGATGTTTTAGGCATGTGTTTTTATGTTGATGGATAATAATTGGTACTTTTGTATTTTACAAGAAAAGAATAGTATATACAAAATGGACAATTAATAGATATTCGCTTCGTCAGCTTCTAAGGGTCACATTTACCTTTTTTTATCATTGTATTTATCATTAAAAATATTCTTATATTTTTATAATTTTTTGTACATATGTCCTTCTATTAGTATTATAAGACACTAATGAAAATATTTTTGTAATTTTTTTTTTAATTTGTACTACATTTTGATATAATAATTAATATTCAAAGATTAACACGCAAAAAGTAAATTAGATCTTTAGAGCCGGACAGATGTAATATAATTTTTTACTAAAAAAAGTATAAATACTTTTGGATGAAAGATTGGTGTATTAGTGATTTATGTATCCGTTTATTTTTCTTATTTAGATTAAGAAATAGAAATATTTCATGTGTGATAGGTAGTATGCAAAAATGTATTGATTAAAGGAAAACTGTATTTTTAGTCCGGTAATGGTCTCTCTTATCATTTTAGTTTCGCAATTGAAGTTTGTGTAGAAATGATCTTGTAATTGATTTTTTTTTTTTGCACAATTGATAATTCGGCGATTGTGTAAAAAAAAAAATCACATACTAAACAATTTTTTTATAGAAATGATCTTGTAATTGATTTTTTTGGCACAATTGATAATTCGGCGATTGTGTAAAAAAAAAAAATTACATACTAAACAATTTTTTTATATGTTATAGCTACGAATCTAAAATGATAAAAGAGTCCATTACAATACTAAAAAAATAGTTTTCCCTTAATTAAAATATCTTAAAAGTAAATTGTAATAATATTTTATTACAGCATTCTCGTAATATATGCTAAATTAGAAAATGAATATATTATTTCTAAGATGAGATAAATCATCGTTTGATGAGTTCGAACTATTAAAATTTTTCGATAAAAATGATCTCAAAATAAATTATTGTAGCTCTTCGGGGTGTCGCAACATTAAAGGCTCGGGCATTAAAGGAAGCATCCAATGTTGCATCGACTATCCTGGAAGACAAAATGACGAGCAACAATGGATGCTCGAATGACAATTTGAACGAAAAATTTGCCTCTGGAGAAAAATTCCTTGGAATTTGTAGTCGAGAGCTCCTTGCCGGCGGAGGCGAGCTACTTAAGCGAACTCGAAAGGGTAACTTTAATTTTGAGTCCCCTAAATATATATTTACTTAGAGAGATTACTATACTTAAATTACAATTTCAAATAAGATATTAATACTAAAAAATAATAATAATAAATCAATCGACAAATATTTGAATTCTATTTATTTTAATATTCTTTTTGGTGCTTTATTATACAATTCTCATAATTTTATGTAAAAATATATTTAGTTTTTCTCACATAATATTACGTAAATTCCATTATTTATATCAAAAACAAAAACTTAAGTATTCATTAAAAAAAAATATCACATTCTTTCCGGTTGCTTTATTATACAATTCCCATAATTTTATGTAAAAATATAATTAATTTTTTTTCTCACAAAATATTATGTAAATTCTATTATTTATATCAAAAATAAAAACTGAAATAATCATTAAAAAGAGTATCACAAATAAAAACAATAATTATGTAAATTTAGGATTTAATATTTTTGTTCATATATCAAATAAATAAACATGTTCTTCCCATATAATAATTTGGGTGTAATGAATGGTGAGTGCAGGTGATTTACATTGGAAAATAGTGTCAGTTTACATCAACAAATTGGGACAGGTAAGGCTTTTAGATTTCATATATAATTGAAGAAAAATTATTTGATAAGATTGGAGTGAATTATTAAAAGTTAAAGTTACAAAAATAATTTGCTTTTGAGGAAATATATATGAATATTAAAGTGTGACACAATAAAATAATTTTATATAATTTAATTGATTAGGTGATGCTAAAGATGAAGAGTAGACATGTTGCTGGGACAGTCACCAAAAAGAAAAAGAGTAAGTCATTTTTATTTTTTTTTTCGTGATTTAAAAATTGCATAACATTTTTTTATATTTTAAAATATATTTCACATTTTTTTAATGATAATTTTGTGCAATATTTTCGAAAATATGAGAAACTTCTAATAGGGGTTGAGGATCTTTGGTCGCATTTATATATATAATTTTTTTACTTAATTTATTTTGTATGATATTTTAAGATAGGGACCAAAAATAGGATTAATGAGCATTTCTTCTAATTTGGGGGTTTATGAAAGCAACATTTGTAATCTTTTTCACGGTCGAAATTTGAAGACATTGTGGTCGAGGTGTTGAAGGATATTCCGGCGTGGCCTGGCCGTGAAGTCGTGGAGGATGGCGAGCAACGGAGATACTTTGCGCTAAAGACAGTTGCACGAGGTGTAGTTGAGTTCGAGTGCATGAACCTAAGGGAGTATGACATATGGACTCAAGGGGTTTCGAGGTTGCTCGCCATTACAACAACATATAAAAACAACAACAACAATATTATTTGAACTAAAACTATATATATATATATGTATGTATATGCATTTTTTGTGTGTAATAAGTGTAAGTGTTTATGATAGATTTTGTAATGTATATTGTATGCATGCAACCGAGCAAAATGTTTGGGTTTCAAATATTCTTTTACTATTCCGTCTGTATTTTTAATAAAAATATATTATTTTATATTGATCTTTTTCTTTCCTTTCTTTTTCTTAAAAAAATTAATTATTGTATTATAAAAAATTATTTTTTTTCAGCAACAAGATAATTTATAAGAGGTCACATATCTTAGTATATTAATTTTGTTGAAACTTGGCTTACAAAATTTGATGGGACCCAATCCATTAAGCTGCTATGAATTGTGCTAAAAAAATGATTTGAGGTGTGCTTGGTTTGTAGTTATATTTGTGTTTTGTTATTTAAATAATAGTTAGATGTGATATTTTGTAAAGATAATCTTATCTTTTTTATAATAAATCATAGAGATTATATAGTTAAAACATTGGAAAAAAATATATATATAACAAAGAACTGAATCTAGATGTGTTTAGATTTTTTATTTTGATTTTTATTTTGAATATTTTATATGAATCATAACAATTGAGTAATAAAAAGATAAATATATATACTGAGTAAAACAAATTATTATTTATTTATTTATTTATTATTATTATTATTATTATTATTATTTGTGAACATGGTGGTTTGGTCAAAAAGTTTTGAGGAGATCTCATTTTGAGTTGGGAATAGATTTGGGACAAAGTGGGGGTTACCATTTCCCTTTAGTTATTGAAGTTTTGGATATATATAAAGTGAAGTGAAGTGAATTTGATGTGTTTTTAGCACTTTGCTTTAATGTCATGAATTTATTTATATTTTAAAGAATACATTCTTTTTCTTTTAGATTTTTTAAAAAATAATATCTTGAATTGCTTTATTATACCAATCATGCTTTGGAAATGTTTATAAAGTTTTGATTTTTATTGGTTTAGGTGAAATCATTGGTAAGTGTAATATTTTATATGAATTTTATATATATATATATATATATATATGTTTATTAAAACCGATTAGATTACATCATATTGGGATAAAAAAAAAAAAAAAAAAGAACCTTAAAGCATTTGTATAGTTGTTTGGATAATTGAAATCAACTATGGCAATATAAGAACAAATTAAGCTTTAATCAAAAGGGTGTGTTTGTTTAGGGTTTGGATTTTGAGTTGGGATTTGAATAGTAAAAATTTTGAATTTGAATAGTTATATGATGTGATATAAATGGGTGTTGATGTGATGTTTTGAATGTAAAATTGATTTTTAGTATAATATAAAAAATAAAAAATAGGTGTTTGATGTGATGTTTTTGGAGGGAAAAAATGGGATGAACAGTGGATTGGAAATCCAATCCCCCAAACAAACACACCCTTAATTCAATATATGATTTTTGAATTGTGAGTTTATTTTATTTTATTGTTATTCCATTTACCAAAATTCAAATGCATGTATGGGCTCTCGTTTGGATCGATCAAACCAAGCATTTATCAAGCTATAAGCCCACAATCTTGTTCTAATCCGGCTTAAGCCCAAGCCCAATCCCGAGCGCAAGCCAAGTTCGAGTTCAGGCCCATTCGAAAATACGAACTTACAATGACTTTTCTAACCACACATTTGTACCACTTTAACAAGTCTTATTTATTTTGTTCTTGCAATGTTAAAAAAAAATAATGTGTATTTAATTATTTAATAACTATATTTTAATAAAATATATAATATGAATATCATATTGTAAAGAATAAAATTTTACATAATACAAATAAATAAATAAAATATAAATATTTATTAATAATTAACATAAATTAACTTGACAAATAAATGAAAAGTTTTGAATATATATAAATTTATTTATTTATTGAGGAGAAATGTAGAAATAAAAGATTTTGAATGAGCTTTTAGTAGGTCCATATAATATACTAATATTTTAGAAAAGAATTGAAAGTATAGTGTCAACCGACAGTGAAACATCAATCAATCAGACTAGTTTTTTTTTTTAATCACGATGATTCGTTTATCTTTTCCATATCATTAGTAGACATTGCATGTTTAGTCCTTCAATTTCAAAATTATGACATAAGTAGTTCCACAGGATTCGCATGTGTGGCTAACATGTGACGACGTATAAGTAGTTCCAACACTTCGATGCATTTTGTATTTTTGTTTTTAAATAAATGGTATCTAAAAGAAGTATTTTTTCAATTCAAAATATTTTTTCAAAAAAATTAATATATTACTCATATTTATTATTTTTATATTATCTACATAATTTTTTATATTTTACATCAAAAAACATCATTTCAAACTATTTCACTGAACAACCACAATCATCTCCTAGAAAATTTACATGGAAGCTTCTAAATACTTTTTTTTTTTTTTCCCATAGTTTTAATAATAGGTGATGATCATGAAAACATAAAAATTTGAGTATAAATTATATAATGCGGAAATAAATAAGAGAGGACATGCCCAAGAGTCAATTTGCCAATCGAGCAATTTGCCGATCATTTTTATCCTTTGTTTATCTCGCTAGAAAAATATATTCTATACGCTTGCAATAGCCGTAATTCATGTCCTTATCCTTTGGCTGTACGTGGGACATCAGTTGTGTGAATATCGGCCAAAAAAACATAAATAGCGACTTTTGTAAATATGTAGAACGTATTTTTTCAATGAGATAAATAAATGACAAAAATATAATTGAGTATACATGGATAATATTTCTTACAATTTTCTCCTTAATTAGTTAACTTGCCTTGAATTAATTAATTCCAAAGGTGCAAATACTTATAGTCCAAGTATTGGACCAAAATTTGGCCCAATGATGCATATAGTTAACTCAGTTGTTATTTAAGCTCAATTAGTAGATGATTCAATCAATTAATTATTTTCTTGATCCATTAATGTACTTTCTTGGTTCCTATGTAAAATACATATTTTGTTATTTTCGTTTGACCAAATACAAGGTATATATGTATATTAATAAATGTGACTTTCCCGTCGAACCTGGTTTGCAGGATATTAAATTCGACCGGGAGTTTACCCAGTGCACACTTTCGGGTAGCGGCTACGGGTTCCCACGTCATAAAAAAAAAATAAAAATGTGGCTCTATCACTCATTAGTCATTACAAAATACTCATATTTTTATACTTATTTATATTCATATATTACATTGTTTTACACAAGTTTTATAAAGATATGAAAGTCTTTACACAACTAAATATTATCATTCACTACTTAAATACTAATCATTTTTTATTTTCGTATCAAAAGTAAATGTATATCTTATGAATTTGTTTACACATATTAATTAATTTTGAGAAATAAAAATTTAATTTACACAAATTAAATTTTAACCATAGATTAATAACCGATTACCAACAATTTTATTGTTCCGGATTGCTTTTTTGAACATATATCCAAGGCCATTATTCAATTTTCTAGTTAGTAATATATTTACTTTTATTTATTTTTTTTTTCTTTAATGGAATTGAAATGCAAGGGGACAATGACTAGCTCAACTAAAATAAAATTGATCGAGCAAAAATATAATAAGTTCAAATTTCTTCTTTCTTCTTCTTCTTTATTATAAATTGGAATCTAAAGAAAATTATTAAACATAAGATGATATGTCATAACAAAAAAAGAATTAAAACACATGAAATGTAATTAACCAAATGAAAATTGACAATAACAAATGGCTAGCTCATAGAAATATCAATACGAAGAAGAAGGAGGAAAATATGGAGATTTGAGACTTCTAAATGTTCCTAAGAACTTTTTCATAAAGCCTATTGGATGACAATAAAAACCATCCCTAAGTGTTCTTCATCGAATGAGCAAACATTTTTCTTTAGATCGACGGGTTAGAGCTAAAGAACCCTAATTGATGAGGCAAAACACACTCACCATATTCATCGTCTAAGCAACCGAATGTTCCAATCCCTTCATTTATGGTCAAGTCCTCCCAAAGCCCTCCATCGAATGTTTTTGCAGTATTACCATCAAAATTCTTGTCCAAGACTTGGTTCTCGATGTTCATCATATGATCTAATCCACTAGTCTCACTGTACCCTAAGGATTCTTCTACCTTAATGTCTTCAAAACCCCCCATTCTCATGTCATCAAGTTGCCCGAATTCTTGAATACCAATGTTGTATGAACTATCCGTGTTATAAGTGTTATAAGTTCTTGAGCCATGATCTATTTTCTTCTTCTTGTTCTTTGAAAGCACGTCCATGATCTCTTTTCTTCTATCCTTGTTTTGAACAAATTGTTGTAAGAAGGTGGGGTTCTTTATTGCCCTCGCCAAGAAATTCATCGTTTGTTGTTGTTTGAGCTCCGTCCCTTTGAGCCTTTGCTCCATTTCATTGATGTGGAACTTAGTCGTTTGTTGTTGTTGTCGAAGCTTCACCAATTCAGCCATTAAAACCTATGCATTCGAGAAACTAATTAAAACAACATAAAGATATATAATCAATTTAAATTTTTAGATAAGATGGTCATAAATTAATTACTTGTCTGTCGCGCCTTAATCTTTCAATCTCTGTATCCAATCCGAAGGTCCCAACTTCAACGCACGACTCTATGCCTCCTTGGCTAGAAGATTGTGGATTATTCGATGTTTTTCTTCTTCTTATACTTTTCAAAAGATGTTTTTGTCCCCTCAAGAAACCTTGGTTCGCAAACTCCCATTTGTCCGGGTCAACTTTCCTAAAACCCTTCACAATGTACATATCAATTGCTTTATATTTGACAACGATTGTATGTATTAACTAGAATAAAAGGAAAGTTATCCATGCAAAATACATAATTAGAAATATATCTATCTATCTATATATACATATATATATATATATATATAACAATTGTTGTTCTGTGTTAACTATAATTAATCAACACAATAATGACAACATGTATAATATATACTGACATCATATGAAATATAAATTGAAAATATAAGCTATGTATTTATAAAATATAAATATATTATTTGAACGGACAATATATAAAAATAGTTCACATAACACATTTTAATACACAAAGTATATTAATACAATACACATATAAAATAAAATAGACAATACATGCTAACAATACATGCATATGTTGTCTATTTTATTTTCATGTATTATCTGTTATATTTTCGTATAGAATTATTAGCCACAATAAGCGCCATAACCATTCTTATATTTAACCTCTTTTCTTTAAAGGTAAACTACATATAATATTTTGAATGTGTTCATTTATACTGTAAACAATTCACCCAAAATGTTACTAAAAAAAATTATGGTACAATAAAAATAATAAAAGTTAACAAAATTATGAAAAAAAAAAAAAAAGTATTATTGTCTACAATTCTTACACGATTCTCTACGTGACATTATATAATACTTAAAAGTATAGACATTTTCTTATTCTTTGGAACTTTAAAAAAAAAAAAAAAAATTATAAACACTTTCTTCAAGTAAAATTTTATTAAAAAAATCGAAATGGATGAAGTATAATTTTATCATGTGTCACATACATGACCTGATTTACATAAAAAAGAATCCAATGATCTATCATATATATACTCCTTCTCTTATAAAAAATTAGGATAAACTGTTTTTTTAGTCCCGTAACTGGACCTCTTATCATTTTAGTCTCGTAAGTAGAGGCTGTCGCCAACTAGTCCCACAAGTGGAAAATTTTCGTTGTTTTAGTCCTCCGGCGCCGGAGACGCCCGCGTGGCTCGCCAGAAGCCACGTGCCCTCCACGTGTCTCGCCAGGTCAACGACACCTGGCGGACACGTGGATTTTATTTTATTTTTTAATTTTTTTTCAATTGGATCAAATAAAAAAATAAAAAAAGGAAAATAAAATTAAAAATAAATTTTAAAAAAATTAAAATAAAATAAAATAAAATCCACGTGTTTGCCGGGTGTCGCTGACCTGGCGGACACGTGGCCTCCGGCGAGCCACACGGGCGTCTCCGGCTACGGATGACTAAAACAGCGAAAATTTTTCACTTATGGGACTAGTTTGCGACAGGCTCCACTTACGACACTAAAATGATAAAGGGGTACAGTTACGGGATTAAAAAAATAGTTTACCCAAAAAATTATGTAGATATAATTGAGCACGAGTTTTACTAAAAAAAATAAAATAATTAATTTTTTTTTATAATAACACTAATAAAAAAGATATTTTTATGATAATTAAAATAACTTTAAATTTAAATTTAAATTACGAATACATTATATTTCCTCCGTTTCATAACAAAATATTTATTTGTTCATTTTAGTTCGTCTCATAACAAAGTATCCATTTCTTTTTTTAGTAACTGTAATATCTACCTAACATTACAAATACTCTTACAACTTACAATATATTACACAAATGTCATTACCTTTATATCACACATACTAATAAGGATATTTTAGTCATTTTTATTTTATTCATACTATATCTCAATATAATACTAATATTTCTAAAACTACGTACAAAAAACAAATGAATATTTAATTATGAGACGAAGGGAATATAGAGAACTTGAAAGGTGACCATATGGATTCAGCTATGTACAGTAAATAGAATGATAAATACAATGCAATTAAGTCGGGTAAAAGATAGTCTGATGGTGTGGAATGAACTCAAGGAGTAGTAACAGTGTATTTCATATTATAAAAAGATAATACTAAATTATTTCATTAAAAATAATTTAAAATATATTTCGAAAATTTAAAAGTTATGGGTATTTTTTTTTAATTTGAAATTATAAATACTAATATTCAACATATTTTCAATAAAAAATACATAATTTTTTTACATAACATAGCACAAAATACTATTGAAATAATAATTCAAATCAAATCTTTATTACAAATTAATTTTACACCAAACCACAACAAATTCTATGATTTAATTTAATTCATATAATATCTTATATTTTATTTATAAATAATTTACTATTTTCGTTCAATTTGAAAATATACTTTTATTTTTGACACATGATTAAAAAAAATAATAGTATTTAATTATAATGTGTAGTTAAAAATAATGTCAAATTAATTTTGTCTTTATTTTTTAGTGTAAAAGTAATGATGTGGTGATAATGTAGAGATATTTGTATAAAAAAATAAATAAGCTATTTTTTAAAAATTACTTTGCAATTGGACAAACTAAAATTCAAAATATATACTTTATAGGTGAACGCGGGAAATATTATATAATTTAAGTAAATAATTAATATTTCATTCGTCCCACTTACCATAATTATTTTTTTATTTTCATCTGTTCAACTTATTTTGTCACTACTTTTTTTAAAAAAAATTATAGACTTTAATTTCATTTTATTTTAATTTATATATTTTTAAAAAAAATTAATTAGATTAATTAATTATTTTAATTTTAATATATTATTATTATACAATAATTATTTTCACTAATACATTTTTAATTATTTACTAATTATACTACTTCTAGATTTCTTTGTCTATGGTAAAATACACACCGTAGTCAAGATAGAAAAAATATAAATTAATTTATTGACAGGCCCAACACTACTAATATATGCATACACATTTGATTAAAATTACCACTATTCATTATATATAATACTCGCTCCGTTCCACATAATTTGTCTCTATTTTCTATTTTCGTCTCCCACATAATTTGTCCTTTTTATTTTGAAAATATAATCATGCACTTTAATCGCATTTTAAATTTTATAATTTTTTTAATTTTAATTAAACTATTTACTTATCTTAATCTTAATCTATAATTATTTTTACTAAATAATAATTATTTTTACTAATACACTTCTTAATTACTTATTAATTATAAATTATCTTAATTCTCGTGTCTACAGTAATACACCCATATTACATGAGACGGAGGGAATATTCAATTAAAAATATATAATTTTTTTTCATAAAAATCACATTAAAATATTACTTGAATAAAAATTTAAATTAACATTATATTTCAAATCAATTTCAAGCACAATCAAACAAACCTTTAAATGTGTACATGAATATAAAGATAGCAAGAAATAAATATTGTTTTGTTAAAATATATATATATATATATATAAACATACATATATTATTTTCCTCTAAAAAATTATTACAATTAAAATAAAATACCAATAAATTATCATAAACTACAATACTATTGACTTTTGTATTTCATTATAATTACAGAAAAAAATATCTATATTGTATTTATTGGATAAAATTGTATAGGAGTATATTGTATTATTTCAAAAATATAATTAGTAAATAATTAATAAGTATATTAGTACAAATATAATGCAAATAATTATACATTGAATTATAATAAATAAATAATTTAATTAAAATTATAAATTATAAAATTTAAAATACATAATTATTTTTTTTAAAAAAAAAACACATAATGTAAAACTAACTAAAATGAGCATTTTACATGGGACCCATGAATACTTTATTTGTTTTTATTAATAGAAAACCATCTACATGGAAAAAATTAATTTTATGAAATAAATAAAATGTAAATATTTTCTACCTTTCTAATAAAAACAAAAATCTATATTATAATGAATATCAACAAAAGAAATAAATAATTAATTGAAAAAAAAAAAAAAAAAAAAGCTTACATACATATGTGTTGAGCTGCCTGACAAAGCTTGAGAAATTGTTGTGCTTGAAGTAGCGAGGGAGAAGATCCATGGCGAATCTCTGGGGGTCCCAGACGACGAAACTGTTGCTGTTTCTGCTCCACGAGACGACGTCGTCCGTCGCCGGATCTTCCACCAGCTCGTAAGTCTTGCTCAGGAATGGCGTGGGCCCCCCCACCTCCATTGCGGGATTAATCTCCTGCAAGCTCAAGCTCGTCATCAATGGCGGATGCTGCTGCTCATCCAAATTCGATTGCCCCCAATATTCCTGCTTTATTGCACCAAAATTATTCATCTTTCTGTCGAATTTCTTCTGTCCAACAATGGGGAGGGGGTTTAAAAATTGAATTTTCTGATTGGTTGCAGAGATTGAAATTAGGGTTTGGAAAGTTCTGCAGATTGGGAGAGAAATTGGGGTTTAGGGAAGAAGATGAAGAATTGATATTTAATTAAAAATCGGATCTTGGAAATGAATTGTTATGAGTAAATTTGTGGAATTGATTATGAGCATATGAGTTTTTTTTGTTGGTGGCTTATGACTTATTATTAGTCGAAAAAGAAATTAAATTATTGCCCAATAAGACACCATACATTTGACTGTGTTTTTTATTTAATTTTTTGTAGGCCAAGTTAGGAAGCTAATTGGACCAGCACATAACCTTTTTTAAGTAAATAATTAAAAAATATATTCGTAAAAATAATTATTAAGATTAATATAATTAATTAGATTAATTAAAATTTTAAAAATATATATAAATTATGAAGGTTAAAATGTATGATTATTTTTTAAAAATAAAAAGATAAATTATGTTAAGTGGGTAGTGTTAACGACAATAATTTGAGATAATTTGAATATTATACTATAGAATTTGGGAGAGAAATGCATATTTATTTATTTATTTGTTATTTAAATAAGGCAAAATTCTCCATAACTCCCATGCGGTTTCGAAACTCAGCATAAATTCTCTCTCTACTTTAAAAATTGGTTGGTACCCCCTTATACTTTAAAAAATATTGCATAAAACCACTTTGTGATTTCGAAACTCAGCATAAATCCCCATTTTACTTTAAAAAATTGCATGACGCTCACTTATACTTTCAAAAATATTGCATAAAACTCCCATGTCATGCAAAACATATAGATAGGAAATCATCTTCTTATCACATGAGGAAAGTTTAATGGTGGTGGAATTTCATGCAACGTTTTTTAAAGTATAAGGGGATATCATGCAATTTTTAAAGTAGAGGGGGAATTTACGCTGAGTTTCGAAACCACAAGTGAGTTATGGGCAATTTTGCCTTTAAGTAATGTAATGGGATAAAAGGAAATGCATATTTATAAATATATTAGTATAATTAATTATTTCTAAATATGAAAATATTGCAGTAAGTTTTGGACAAACAAAAAGTGAAATGTTGTAGGGTGTTTGAAAGGAGGGAATATGATACTCCCCCGTCCAGCTAGAAAGTATACATATTTCTATTTTGGGACGTCTAATTACAAAGTAAATATTTTATTAAATACTTTACTTTTTTCTACAAATACTCTTACTTTACATCACATCATTACTTTTACACCAAAAAAATAAGAGCAAAAATGTCATTACACTACTTTTAACTACCCACTATAATTAAAATACTATTATTTGTTAAACACTGCGCCAAAGTAAATGTATACTTTGTGTGTGGATGAACATAGTATTTTGTAGAAGAAACAAAAATATTTGATGTAATATATATTAAAAAAAATAATTATTAATATATAATACCAAAAAAAAAATTAAATATATATATGTAAACAAAACTTCCTTAATTTATAAAATTCGTTGCTCAATATTAAATGTTTAATGCCAAATATTGAATTCCTTGATCATTTAAGACTCTATTTACATAGATATATTTTAAAATTTTGATAATATTTATGAACTTTTTTTTTTTTTTTCAAAATGTATTTTATCAATTATTTACTTTTTCTTATAAAATATTATATTAAATATTCAACATACCATTTTATTTATTTATTTATTTATTTATTTCAACAATATATAGATTTTACTATACTTAATACATAGCTAGCAAACTATTAATTCAAGTAATAAATGGCCATATCGAATTGGATCTTGACTTTAAGAAAAGTTGTTTCCACGTGGATTTTGTAGCGAGGTTTAAAGGTTTGCAAATAATAAAAATTTGAATTAAATATAAAAATAAAAATAATTATAATTATTTAATATAAAATATATACAAGGATAATTTTAAAATATTAAAAAAATAATTAATAAATAGTAGTCCCTCCATCGTCCAAATCTATATTCATTATTATTATTATTATTATTATTATTATTATTATTATTGCCATTTAAATTTATATTCATTTTTTTTTAATAACAAAATACCATTTATTTATTATTTTTTTTACCCAAAAAGTAAAAATTTTTAATTTTATATATTTTTCTTAAAATTTGTGTCCGATCAGATGAGCACACAATTGGATGATAGAATGAAGTAATATTTTTATTTTCTATTAAAAGCACCATAGTATAAAAAAAACCCTATTTATGTTTTTTTGATTTTATTTTGATTTTTTACTTAAAATAATAATTTTAATATAATATTCCCTTCATCCCACATAATTTGTTCTTATTTTCTATTTTCATCCGTCCTACATAATTTGTCCTTTCATTTTTTGGAAAATTGATTATACATTTTAATCATATATTAAAATTTTTAAAATTTTAATTAAACTATTTAGTTATCTCAATCTTAATATATAATTATTTTTATTATATAATAATTATTTATACTAATACACTTTTTAATTACTTACTAATTATACACTATTTAAATTCTCGTATTTATAGTAATAATCTGATATTATCTGGGATGGAGAGAGTAGGACGGATAGAGTACTATTTTATAAAAAAAAATATATTATATTTATGTACTAAAAATAAATAAAATAAAACTCGAAAATATAATAGTAGTAATATAGAGTGGCAAATCCAATACTAAAAAATTGAAAGAAAGAGGAATAAAGGACAGGTGGAAAGGTGAATTTGCAGCCTCAAAATAGGCAATAAGATATTTTAAGGTGCCCCACGCTCTTTCTCCTTTTGGGAAGGAACCTGTCTCTCTCACACTCACACACACTATATATATATAACTAATTTTATTAATCAATTCAAAACAATTTAAATAATATTAAATATAAATATAATAATATATATTCGTACCTACTAGGGAGGTCAAATGGGACGGGTTAGCCCCGGACCTACCCGGATCCACTTTTAATGGGGCGGATTCGGGTCTAAATAATACGTTTGAGGCAGGTTGTGGATTTAAAATTTTAAACCCGATTGGGTTCTGGACGGGTTATGAATTTTATTGGGTAGGTTACGAATTTTACTAAAAATTCATTCCAACCCGGACTCGGATCCGAAGTCGGATATTTTTTAAAATTGTTATAACTAATATATATGTACATTTATATAATAAAAATATATTATTTATTTACTTAAATAATTTTAAATATAAAATTCAATTAATCGCATGCTCCAAATAATTTTTTAAAATTATTATACCTAATATATGTATATTTATATAATAAAAATATATTATTTATTTGTTTATCTTATTTTTATGGATCAATATTTGATTGTTTTTAGATTTTTTTTGTACTTTTAATGCTATTTGTTTTAGTATTCGATTGTTAAAAAAAATAGTTATTATTATATATTTTTTAAAAAAACGAGTTTGCCGAGTTGGCCCCGAACCCGGCAGGGGCGGGTCTCGGAAGCGGGGTCCTGGGGCCGGGTGGAAGCGGGGCGGGGCGGGTCTCGGAACCTAATATTTTCTAGCAGGGCGGGTCTCCGAGCCTGCAAAACCTGTCCCGAACCCGCCCCGTTGACATCCCTAGTACCTACTCGGATTTACTATTATTCTAATTTCAATTATCATTTTTCTATATTTAGTCATTATTATTTGATAAATAAATTGCCATCCTCTTTTCATATTTAATTAAAATTATACTCCGTCCGTATCATAACAAGGTATTCATTTTTTTATTTTAGCCCGTCTCATAACAAAGTATCTATTTTCTTTTTTTAGTAACTGTACTATCTACCTAACATTACAAATACCCTTATAACTTATAATATATTACACAAATGTCATTACATTTATATCACGCGGACTAATAAAGTTATTTTAGTCATTTCTACTTTATTCCTACTACATCCAAATATAATACACCTTCCGTCCTAAATACTGTGCAACATTTCCTTTTTGTTATGTCTCAAACACTCTGCAATATTTCTAAATTAAGAAATAATTAATTATACTTAATCTATATCCCTACACTTTATCCCATCATATCACCCTAATAAAAAAAATAAAATATACACTTCTCTCTCTATCACATCACTTAATTACTCAATTATCCTACTTAATACTTTTCACCTAAAATTCCGTGTCCAACTTAAATGTAGGACTATGTTTGGGACGGAGGGGGTACTAATATTTCTAAAATTACATGCAAAAAACAAATGAATATTTAGTTATAGGACGGAAGAAGCATGTAATTTGTATTCTTTTCTTTTGTAAATTACATTAGAATTTTAAAGTTTAAATCTACGATATCACAGTCACAAATTGATTTTCTTGAATTTGAGGATATGAGCTTAGATTTATTTGTGATAAAAAAATGTATATACATATATATATATATATATATTATTAGAGAATATAGAAATTGTATGGTAAAAAAATAAAAATAAATTCAAAATGAACAAATCTCTATTGTTTCTTCATATGGTTGCAACTTAAATTGGAGATTTTATTTAGCCAAACATACCGATGTCGATAGTAATATTAGCATGTGAAATATATTGTACGTTAAATGTATTTTGAAGTTCTTGTAAAAGTTTTATAAAATATAAATATAGTTACCATATTCAATTTTTTGTTTTTTTTTCTTCTTTCTACAAAACTATATGTCAATTTAATGAAAAGTAAAACTTATTTTGATCTTTTGAATAAGGAAATATGTTTGATAATATAAATAGATTATTAAAAAGTATATCCCAAGAAATTATTAAGTGCCTTTATAAAATTGATTTTAAAAAATATAACATAAAAATATATACTTCCTCCATTCAATAAATTTACGCCTATTTATTTTCGTAATTTATGCGTGTTATTTAATATTCTTATTTTTTTTATTTAGTACAAAATTATAATATTTTTTACTATAAAAAAGAAAGTACACGTCACTTTAAAATTTATGTAAAAAAATTATATTATACTTTTATAGAAATTTGTAAATAAACAACTCTCTATTTGTTCACCTGCATTTTGTTATTTTTATATTTTATTTCAAACCATTAGCCTTTGATATATATATATATATACTCAACAACAACAATAATAATAATAATAATAATAATAATAATATTATTATTATTATGTATCAACTTTCGGGTAGCGACTGCAGATTCCC